CTTTATAGTCCACCCTGTGTGGCGATGTAATATTGTGTGTTCTCCTTATAGTCCACCCTGTGTGGCGATGTAATATTGTGTGTTCTCCTTATAGTCCACCCTGTGTGGCGATGGAATATTGTCTGTTCTACTTATAGACCACCCTGTGTGGCGATGGCAATATTGTGTGTTCTCCTTATAGTCCACCCTGTGTGGCGATGTAATATTGTGTGTTCTCCTTATAGTCCACCCTGTGTGGCGATGTAATATTATGTGTTCTCCTTATAGTCCACCCTGTGTGGCGATGTAATATTGTGTGTTCTCCTTATAGTCCACCCTGTGTGGCGATGGAATATTGTCTGTTCTACTCATAGTTCATGATGTGTGCCGATGGTAATATTGTCTGTTCTACTCATAGTCCACGCTATGTGGCGATGGTAATATTGTCTGTTCTACTCATAGTCCACGCTGTGTGGCGATGGTAATATTGTCTGTTCTACTCATAGTCCACGCTGTGTGGCGATGGTAATATTGTCTGTTCTACTCATAGTCCACGCTGTGTGGCGATGGTAATATTGTCTGTTCTACTCATAGTCCACGCTGTGTGGCGATGGTAATATTGTCTGTTCTTCTCATAGTCCACGCTGTGTGGCGATGGAATATTGTGTGCTCCCATAGTTCACCTCATAGTTCAAGTTGTTTTGTGTGTAATAATACTGTGTAGTGTAACACATTTCCTGCTATTGCTTGATGCCATTGTGACGCCGTCTATGAAGTAGTCTGACACTGTTTATTGTAACCTTCTACTGCTTGTATTTGAACTGAAGCTTGATGGGACGGGACATTGTTAACACAGTAAAGTTGTCCTCTTCCATGCTTCCCCCTACTTACTTCGCCTGGATTCCAACATACAGTGATATTCTTTACTCTAGCACTAATTTCTAATATTAAACAATTTTAAGATCGGTATGTCTTTACATGTTTAAGTACAACATTTCCATTTGATAATGTTGTTTCTGCAAATTATGCCATTATCAGATCATCTAACATGGCACTAACATTTGCCCAAAGTGTCAGACATGACTACTCTCAAGTCTGCATACCTGGCTGTTTGGTATTATTTATGCTGAATGGTTGCCCGGCTGTCTAGCGTAGTTGGCTTAACCGGATTGGGCGGTGACTGGGTAACGAACTCCTTGTGGTCCGGGTTCACTCACGGGGGTAGGCAGAAAAGCCACATTTCTCCTAGATTTACGGTATTTACAATGGAATCAAGGCCGAAAGGTTGCGATATCCATAATACCGAGCCTAAAGGCTAACAACTCATGGCTTCTGGATACTAAAACTAATATACTGAATGGTTATCCGCTACTCAAGGCCTTCATCATGTTCAGTTCAGTGGATGGTGCATATCGTATCTCGCTCGCGTTTCACAATTGCTGCTAACGCTAGGTCCTTCTCGGATAATTGATCTGCTTTATTAAAATTCATTTACATATTTTTTTAATTTATTAAAACTCTGAGCTTTTCTATGTTTTTTTTTAAGTGCATGTTTATTATTTTCCCCACAATTAATCTGCAAGTATTGCTGACACTATTGATAGGAGGTCAGGTCACTGATTGGATGACACTGTGGCCAGGTACTATTTCTGTGACGACGGCACCAAACTATATCTATCGTCAGTAATGTTTGTCACGTGACTGCAGATTCCGTACAAAAATGGGAGCACATATAAATCACGTGACTGTTTCGCCTGGCTGTTAATCTGTGAAGATAAGAAGTTGGTGATCTGTGTTAGTGAATGTGGTTCCTGTGAACACAACTTGTCAAGGCGTCCAGTGAATATGTTAGTGAATGTGGTTCCTAGGAACACAACTTGTCACGGCGTCTAGTGAATGTGGTTCCTGTGAACACAACTTGTCAAGGCGTAAAGTGAATGTGTTAGTGAATGTGGTTCCTGGGAACACAACTTGTCAAGGCGTCCAGTGAATGTGTTAGTGAATGTGGTTCCTGGGAACACAACTTGTCAAGGCGTCTAGTGAATGTGGTTCCTGTGAACACAACTTGTCAAGGCGTCCAGTGAATGTGTTAGTGAATGTGGTTCCTGGGAACACAACTTGTCAAGGCGTCCAGTGAATGTAGTTCCTGGGAACACAACTTGTCAAGGCGTCCAGTGAATGTGTTAGTGAATGTGGTTCCTGGGAACACAACTTGTCAAGGCGTCCAGTGAATGTTTTAGTGAATGTGGTTCCTGGGAACACAACTTGTCAAGGCGTCCAGTGAATGTGTTAGTGAATGTGGTTCCTGGGAACACAACTTGTCAAGGCGTCCAGTGAATGTGTTAGTGAACGTGGTTCCTGGGAATACAACTTGTCAAGGTGTCCAGTCAATGTGTTAGTAAATGTGGTTCCTGGGAACACAACTTGTCACGGCGTCCAGTCATCTGTTATCTGACCTTACGAATGTTTACGTAGACAAGGTTCAAATGTGTTGTATTTTCCCGTCCAGAACAAGGCTCAACTGTGTAGTATTTTCCTGTCCAGGACAAGGCTCAGCTGTGTAGTATTTTCCTGTCCAGGACAAGGCTCAACTGTGTAGTATTTTCCTGTCCAGGACAAGGCTCAGCTGTGTAGTATTTTCCTGTCCAGGACAAGGCTCAACTGTGTAGTATTTTCCTGTCCAGGACAAGGTTCAACTGTGTTGTATTTTCCCGTCCAGGACAAGGCTCAACTGTGTTGTATTTTCCTGTCCAGGACAAGGCTCAACTGTGTTGTATTTTCCCGTCCAGGACAAGGCTCAACTGTGTTGTATTTTCCTGTCCAGGACAAGGCTCAACTGTGTTGTATTTTCCTGTCCAGGACAAGGCTCAGCTGTGTTGTATTTTCCTGTCCAGGACAAGGCTCAACTGTGTTGTATTTTACTGTCCAGGACAAGGTTCAACTGTGTTGTATTTTCCCGTCCAGAACAAGGTTCAACTGTGTTGTATTTTCCTGTCCAGGACAAGGCTCAACTGTGTTGTTATTTTCCTGTCCAGGACAAGGTTCAACTGTGTTGTTATTTTCCTGTCCAGGACAAGGCTCAACTGTGTTGTTATTTTCCTGTCCAGGACAAGGTTCAACTGTGTTGTTATTTTCCTGTCCAGGACAAGGCTTAACTGTGTTATTATTTTCCTGTCCAGGACAAGGTTCAACTGTGTTGTTATTTTCCCGTGCAAGACAAGGTGTCTTAGCTGAACATAGCTCACTGTACGATTGCTTCGCTGTTGTCGTGTAGCTCAGTTTTATAGATGAACATTGACAGCTTCACAGTCTTCTGCTTCTTCTTATGCATTCTCTCCTAAACAGAGTGGTCGGCTCGCCGTATGGTGGTTTACAGCTACGCTGCGATATTTGCCTACAAAAATGTCCAGTTTTAACCAAAAAATCATAATTAGTTGCCTTTTACGTCACACTTGTTATGGAAAAGCGTGTCTATTTTCGGGCGGACATTTGACCTCAGAATCCAGCGAACGCTTAAGTAGTCTAAATAAATGATGTTAAACGAAACAAGAAGTCAGCAAACAAGGAATGATTGTCAAGGAAATTTCTAAAACTTCTGTAAAGAAACAAATTCAAATAAAATCAAGTATTGCACAAATGTTAGACAGCGAAAGATGCATGGTTATAAAGTAAGTGTAGTAGCTGAAGAGATAATGAGACAGCAGCCAATCTACATGTAAAATATACCAGGCTATCAGGCATACAAAAACTTGTTGACCGAAAGTAAAATATTTATACACAAAGACAAGGGTTAACCAGAATTAATCTTAAAAGGGGTATGACATTGAGAGCCAATCAGAAACAAACACTGATGACCAATGTTGGAGAGCAAATCAGAAACAAACACTGATGACCAATGTGAGAGAGCAAATCAGAAACAAACATCGATGACCAATGTGAGAGAGCAAATCAGAAACAAACACTGATGACCAATGTGAGAGAGCAAATCAGAAACAAATACTGATGACCAATGTGAGAGAGCAAATCAGAAATAAATACTGATGACCAATGTGAGAGAGCAAATCAGAAACAAACACTGATGACCAATGTGAGAGAGCCAATCAGAAACAAACACTGATGACCAATGTGAGAGAGCAAATCAGAAACAAATACTGATGACCAATGTGAGAGAGCAAATCAGAAACAAACACTGATGACCAATGTGAGAGAGCCAATCAGAAACAAATACTGATGACCAATGTGAGAGAGCTAATCAGAAACAAATACTGATGACCAATGTGAGAGAGCAAATCAGAAACAAATACTGATGACCAATGTGAGAGAGCAAATCAGAAACAAACACTGATGACCAATGTGAGAGAGCAAATCAGAAACAAACTCTGATGACCAATGTGAGAGAGCAAATCAGAAACAAACTCTGATGACCAATGTGAGAGAGCAAATCAGAAACAAACTCTGATGACCAATCATGTTGTGTCGTATATATATCCCTTTAATCGATTCTTCATTTCCTTCTCTCCTGTGCAACATTTTCCTGTATAATATCTAGCCCGAAACGGTTTCTCAAGGACCTCATTGCCTCCTATTGAAACTTGTTTTCATTTCACTGCCTATTTTGTGATCCATTGTCCGCAGTATATCACTTTCTCCTTTCTCTGACAAATATTGGCACTTCAAGTTTTCTGAGCATCTCTGTGACAAATGTTGGCACTTCATGGTTTCCGGTCATTTCTCTGACAAATGTAGGCACTTGTAGTGTTCCAGGCATTTCGGTGATACATTTTGACATTTGCATCTTTACGAAAGTTTCTGTTATAAATGTTGGCACTGTCAGTTTTCCCGGCATTTCTGTTATAAATGTTGGCACTGTCAGTTTTCCCGGCATTTCTGTGATAAATGTTGGCACTGTCAGTTTTCCGGGCATTTTTGTGATATTGGCACTGTCAGTTTTCCAGGCATTTCTGTGATAATTGTTTGCGCTTGCAGTTTTCCGGCCATTTCTGCGACAAATGTTGGCACTGTCATTTTCCGGGCATTTCTGTGACAAATGTTGGCACTGTCAGTTTTCCAGGCATTTCTGTGATAAATGTTGGCACTTCAAGTTTTCTGAGCATTTCTGTGACAAATGTTTGCACTTGCAGTTTTCCGGGCATTTCTGTGATAAATGTTGGCACTGTCAGTTTTCCGGGCATTTCTGTGATAAATGTTGGCACTGTCAGTTTTCCGGGCATTTCTGTGATAAATGTTGGCACTTCAAGTTTTCTGAGCATTTCTGTGATAAATGTTGGCACTTCAAGTTTTCTGAGCATTTCTGTGATAAATGTTGGCACTTTAAGTTTTCTGAGCATTTCTGTGATAAATGTTGGCACTTCAAGTTTTCTGAGCATTTCTGTGATAAATGTTGGTACTGTCAGTTTTCCCGGCATTTCTGTGATAAATGTTGGCACTTGCAGTTTTCCGGGCATTTCTGTTATAAATGTTGGCACTGTCAGTTTTCCGGATATTTCTGTGACAAATGTTGGAACTGTCAGTTTTCCCGGCATTTCTGTGATAAATGTTGGCATTGTTAGTTTTCCGAGCATTTCTATGATAAATGTTGGCACTGTCAGTTTTCCAAGCATTTCTGTGATAAATGTTGGCACTGTCAGTTTTCTGGGCATTTCTGTGATAGATGTTGGCACTTGCAGTTTTCCGGGCATTTCTGTGATAAATGTTGGCACTTGCAGTTTTTCAGGCATTTCTGTGATAAATGTTGGCACCTGCAGTTTCCCGGGAATTACTGTGATAAATGTTGGCACTGTCAGTTTTCCGGGCATTTCTGTAATAAATGTTGGCTCTATCAGTTCTCCGGGCATTTCTGTGATAAATCTTGGCACTATCAGTTTTCCAGGCATTTCAGTGAAAAATCTTGGCACTGTCAGTTTTCCGTGGGTCCTACTTATCACACAACTAACTGCAGAATAGCCCCTAAATATGTGAATAGTGTGCCCCATAATCTGGCTGATGGCTACGTGTTTCGGCCTGTCAGTATTTAAGATGCTGACATATACTTGAGTCCATATCCGCGAGCTATTTCATGGACGTAAACGTTCAGGTGCGGTAGATTTCCTCATTACGATGCACATCTTCCAAATGCCGCCTCTAATAGCTTCGTACTGCCAGTTCAAACGTTCAGTTTTTATTTTGATTTCGCTGCGTATGCTTTCCCCTTACGGTGTTGCCTGATGCAGCCGCATCTCTGTATCACAGCACAGCATGGCCCTAGACGTAAATACACTTGAATGTCCTTGTGTTATTGGGGTATATCCAGAAAGCAAATAACAACACCACTATGTCGTAAGAGTCAACTAAGACAGGCCGTGGAGTGAAGCTGGCTATTTGAATCTGTCAAAATTATAGCAAATCCAACTTAAAGAAGTCTATGAAGGCCTGCAGGTGAGCTGGGTTCGGGTCCAAGCTCCACTGAAAGATGAGCTGGGTGCGGATCTAAGCTCCACTGAAAGATGAGCTGGGTTCGGATCTAAGCTCCACTGAAAGATGAGCTGGGTTCAGGTCTAAGCTCCACTGAAAATGATGAGCTGGGTTCGGGTCTAAGCTCCACTGAAGTTTTGATGAGCTGGGTTCGGATCTAAGCTCCACTGAAAGATGAGCTGGGTGCGGATCTAAGCTCCACTGAAAGATGAGCTGGTTCGGGTCTAAGCTCCACTGAAAGATGAGCTGGGTTCGGGTCTAAGCTCCACTGAAAGATGAGCTGGGTTTCGGATCTAAGAAAGCTGAAAGATGAGCTGGGTATTTGATCTAAGCTCCACTTAAAGATGAGCTGGGTTCGGGTCTAAGCTCCACTGAAAGATGAGCTGGGTTCAGGTCTAAGCTCCACTGAAAGATGAGCTGGGTTCGGGTCTAAGCTCCACTGAAAGATGAGCTGGGTTCGGATCTAAGCTCCACTGAAAGATGAGCTGGGTGCGGATCTAAGCTCCACTGAAAGATGAGCTGGGTTCGGGTCTAAGCTCCACTGAAAGATGAGCTGGGTTCGGGTCTAAGCTCCACTGAAAGATGAGCTGCTCAAGAATAAGAGGGAATAAACAAGAGCGGTGTTTTTCTATTGATCACTGCACGGTTAGAAGTTTCAAACAGTAGTTCAAGGTGAAAGGGTCGAGTCCACTGTTAGGCATTGGATTCCATATGGCTATATCTCTGTTAACACGTGTATTTTTCTCACAAGAGAGATGGCAACAACACTGTAGCTCCAGCGACGATCCTCTGGATCTAATAAATCAAATGTCGAAAAGGGAAACCAAACCCGCGACCTTCAGAGCGCGAGTTTAACTACTCAGTCACTTTACTCACGGGAAAACGCTTGACACAAGACAACAAGGCAAGAATTCAAGCAACTTGTCTTAGTCCTCAACCCGCACTTTGAGACTGTTATTATATAAAAAGGCGGCAGTAACAGAAACTTCTTGTCAAAGTCTATTGAAACTTCTTGTCAAAGTCTATTGAAACTTCCTGTAAAAGTCTATTGAAACTTCTTGTCAAAGTCTATTGAAACTTCTTGTCAAAGTCTATTGAAACTTCTTGTCAAAGTCTATTGAAACTTCTTGTCAAAGTCTATTGAAACTTCTTGTCAAAGTCTATTGAAACTTCTTGTCAAAGTCTATTGAAACTTCTTGTCAAAGTCTATTGTCTTTTCTTTCAATATCCTGAATCTTTACATGCTACTCTCTTGCCCCCCCCCCCCCTCCCCCCGATAACGGTCTAGCATCCAACAAACTCCTGCACTCCCCCCCCCCTCTCCTCCTCAGATAACGGTCTAGATTCCAACAAACTCCTGCACCCCCCCCCCTCCTCAGATAACGGTCTAGCATCCAACAAACTCCTGCACTCCCCCCCCCCCTTTTCAGATAACGGTCTAGCATCCAACAAACTCCTGCACTCCCCCCCCCCCTTTTCAGATAACGGTCTAGCATCCAACAAAACTCCTGCACTCCCCCCCCCCCCCCTTTCAGATAACGGTCTAGCATCAAACAAACTCCTGCAACCCCCGCCCCCTCTTGCTCAGATAACGGTCTAGCATCCAACAAACTCCTGCACCCCTCCCCCCTCAGATAACGGTCTAGCATCCAACAAACTCTTGCACCCCCTCCCCCCTCAGATAACGGTCTAGCATCCAACAAACTCCTGCACTCCCCCCCCCCCCTTTTCAGATAACGGTCTAGCATCCAACAAACTCCTGCACTCCCCCCCCCTTTCAGATAACGGTCTAGCATCAAACAAACTCCTGCAACCCCCGCCCCCTCTTGCTCAGATAACGGTCTAGCCCAACAAACTCCTGCACCCCCTCCCCCTCAGATAACGGTCTAGCATCCAACAAACTCTTGCACCCCCTCCCCCTCAGATAACGGTCTAGCATCCAACAAACTCCTGCACTCCCCCCCCCCCCCTCAGATAACGGTCTAGCATCCAACAAACTCCTGCACTCCCCCCCCCTCAGATAACGGTCTAGCATCCAACAAAACTTGCACCCCCCCTCCCCCTCCTCAGATAACGGTCTAGCATCAACAAACTCCTCTGCACCCCCCCCCCCCCCCCCTCAGATAACGGCCTAGCATCCAACAAACTCCTGCACCCCCCCCCCCCCGTGCCTCAGATAGTTGTCTAGCATCCAACAAACTCCTGCATTACCCCCCCCCCCCTTTCAGATAACGGTAGCATCCAACAAGCTCCTGCACTCCCCCCCCCCCCCTCAGAGATAACGGTCTAGCATCCAACAAACTCCTACACCCCCTCCCCCTCAGATAACGGTCTAGCATCCAACAAACTACACCCCCCTCCCCCTCAAATAACGGTCTAGCATCCAACAAACTCCTGCACTCCAGTGACAGCCCCGGTCAGACTTTGGCTCAAAGACACTGACCCAGGGTGACCCAGGGCTACTCCAGCCAGTCACGTGTCTGTCCTAACTACATGGACGACACTCATCAGTCGGAGCATGAGGGACCTGCCGCTGGAACGGCTGTGGGAGACTGAAAGGAAACGGGGGGGGGGGGGGGGGAGTTACTCATAGCTGTTATCTTACTTGGGACAAACGGGGACAAATGGGGGTGGGGGAGGGGGAGGGGGTGAAATGGTAGACAGGGACGAACTAAAGTACACAATAGTAGACACAAATGAAATCTAAGGGCCAAAGAAACCGCATAGTAAACACAGAGAGAGAGAGAGAGAGAGAGAGAGAGAGAGAGAGAGAGAGAGAGAGAGAGAGAGAGAGAGAGAGAGAGAGAGAGAGAGAGAGAGAGAGAGAGAGAGAGACAATATCAGATAACAACCTTCTTTTTTTTTTTCTTGGACATGGGATAACATGCTGGCAAAGTCCAACTAAACTGAAAAAATGATTACTTTTTAACAATATTTGAAATCTGGTAACACCCAAATAGATAAGTACGATGAACAAGTCTTGAAACAGCAGTTATCCTAGTGTATCGTGTCGTGTATCGTGTAGTGTATCGTGTCCTGTATCGTGTAGTGTATCGTGTAGTGTATCGTGTAGTGTATCGTGTCGTGTATCGTGTCGTGTATCGTGTCGTGTATCGTATAGTGTATCGTGTTGTGTATCGTTTTGTGTATCGTGTAGTGTATCGTGTAGTGTATCGTGTAGTTATCGTGTCGTTTATTGTGTAGTGTATCGTGTAGTGTATCGTGTCGTGTATTGTATAGTGTATCGTGTAGTGTATCGTATAGTGTATCTTGTCCTGTATCGTGTCGTGTATCGTGTAGTGTATCGTGTAGTGTATCGTGTAGTGTATCGTGTCGTGTATCGTGTCGTGTATCGTATAGTGTATCGTCTTGTGTATCGTGTAGTGTATCGTGTAGTTATCGTGTCGTTTATTGTGTAGTGTATCGTGTAATGTATCGTGTCGTGTATCGTATAGTGTAACGTGTAGTGTATCGTGTAGTGTATCGCATAGTGTGTCGTGTAGTGAATCGTGTAGTGTATCGTGTCGCGTATCGTATAGTGTATCGTGTAGTGTATCGTCGTATATCGTGTAGTGTATCGTGTAGTGTATCGTATAGTGTATCGTGTAGTGTATCGTGTCGTGTATCGTTTAGTGTATCGTGTAGCGTATCGTATAGTGTAGCGTATCGTGTAGTGTATCGTGTAGTGTATCGTTTAGTGTATCGTGTAGCGTATCGTGTAGTGTATCGTGTAGTGTATCGTGTAGTGTATCGTGTAGTGTATCGTTTAGTGTATCGTGCCGTGTATCGTGCCGTGTATCGTGTAGTGTATCATGTAGTGTATCGTTTAGTGTATCGTGTAGTGTATCGCGCAGAAACCCTAGCAGTAAACAAACAGTTAAAGATTCCAACACAGATTATGCAAATGTGAATATACAGAAAGAAATTCTTGGAATGAAAGCAATCAGATACGGAGGTTTTAGAGAGACTGAATGAAAAAAAAAAAAAAGTTGTTGACAGAAACTTAAAAACAAAAGTTGTTCTAAATATTTTGACCACACTAAAAGTCAGTATTTGCTTGTGAAAACAACGGTCAAGGAAGCCGTTGCAAGCAGGTCTGCAAGAGGCAGAAAGCTATACAAGTGGGGAAGTAACACAAGAGACTGGAGACAAAAAGACACCGAGAAGAAAGACATTGTCAACCATTCTTTAGCTAGCGACAATCAACAATTGATTAATTAGCCACAGA